CATAACCCCAGCCCTTTTTATGTTTTGAGACAGGGTCTCAACTGAGTCGCTTATGACTTTGCTAAATTGCTGAGGCTGGCTTTTAACTCAGGGTCCTCCTGACTCAGTCGTCTGAGTTGCTGAGATTACAGGCATGTGCTACCATGCTTGTCTAGGAGTTTATATAATAATGTTAGAGGGGAGTTAGGTAGCCTTGAAGACCAGGGGCTAGAGATTTTTAAAAAGTGGTTTTTTGAGTCCAGTCACATCAGGGCTCCTGGTATTTATGTGCCCCTGACCAATAAGGATATTGATCACACCCTTTCACTCAGGAATTAGCTCAAGTTTCTGTTGCATACTTTCAGTCTCCAGTGGGGTCACTGGTCCTGATCTGTCTACTCCATTTGTTAACTGCTGGGGGTGTGGGGTACACCCTTGATCCTGTTTGCCTAACATTTCTATCTCCTCTCAATGCCACCCACCTGCCTCAAGTTCCCAAATTGCTAGGATTATAGGCAATTGAACTCAGGCACTTAACAACTGAACCATATCCTCAGCCCTTTTTATTTTTAATTTTGAGACAAGTTCTTGCTAAATAGCTTAGTGGCTCCCTAAATTGTTGAGGCTGGGTTTGAACCTGTGCTTTCCTGCTTCAGCCTCTTGAACTGCAGGGATTATAGGCATGCACCACCATGCCAGGTTTATACTTCTGTCTTCTGATCAGAACCCCTACTCCGTCTAGCACACGCCTCTTTAGTGGGCTGTGATATAGTATAGGGTCCCTAAATGTTTTGTACTAAGCTATTATATTATAAGAGGTTTGGGGATAAAGCTCAGAGATATAATGCTTGCTTAGAATGCAGGAGGCCCTGGGTTTGATTTCCAAGTTGGGGTTGGGTTGGGGGATTGGAGGTGATAATAACAAGAGGCAGGATTTTACCCCCTAGGATTAATATTTTTCATGTGGAATTTCAAAAATTAAGACATTATCAACTGGTGCAGTTGCACAGGCCTGTAATCCCAGTGACTCAGGAGGCTGAGTATGGGAAGTTGGAGGCCAATTTCAGCCTATTCAAATCCACTTGGTTCAAACAGCACTATGCAGGAGTGGATTGTGGAGGAGGGGCATTGAGAATGAGTGCTAAGGCAGTCCGTGGGTGTGTGTGTTACCAAAAGCTCAGTCCTGTCACCCATGCCAATCCAACAACGAGGACACAGTTTTGAGAGAAAGAAAAAAAATGTATTGCTTTGCTAGCAAAGGAAAAGTACAGGGGACTCCTGAGCTTTCTGCCCAGCAAGAGGAACAGGGGGACTTTTAAGGAGGTGATTCAAAGGCTACATCCCACCTCTTCTCTCTGGAGTTTAATTTATTATTAATTTGGGAGACAGTCACTTCTGAGGTCTTCAGGGGCCATCCCCAAAGTCTGGTTTACTTTGTTCCTGTGGTGGTGTGTTATCTGTTCTCAAGAACAGATAACATTGCCTGGGATGGGGAAGAAAGGCAATCCTATTTTCTCTGAGATTAGTCAGGGGAGAGATCAGGGAGGAGGGGAGAGAGGAAGAGAAACGTGCCTGTTTTAAAAATAAGTCACAGTGGCAGAGCAGCATGGACTATACTCAAAGCATAAAGTGGACACTATTACATGGGGGCTGTGTTCACACAAAGGGGGAAGGAGGAGAGAGACAAGAGACCCAGGCCACCAGGTTCACCATCCCAATAACCTTCCTTGGAAAGCAATGGGGGGCATGTTAGTAATTCATTAGCTGTGTGTCTCGGTAAAATTTTCAAAATATTTGCCCCCCTCTCCCACCTACCAGGGTTTATCTCTCTGCAATACTCATCACTACTTGCCCCTATGTTCTGGATGAAAGATTTGTTGTGCGTAGACAACAAATGCATGTTCCATCAGGACAAAACTTGTTCTTTTTTTTTTGGCATGTTGGGGAAGGAATCCAGAGACTCACACACAGTAAGTGTTCTACCATTGAACTACATTCCCAGCGGGGAGAATAAGAGTCAACTTCAGCCATTTTTGCTGTCTTGCCTCATAATTCTAAACCTCCTACAATTGGATTTTTGCTCTTACTTCTCCCCTGGAATTCTCAGACCCTGACATAGGGAGGGTCTCAGAACAAGAGGGAGGAAAGATGAGAGTAGAATAACAGGTACAAAATTCACAATACTGTAAAGCAGTGCAGCTTAAACCTTAGCAGGATCAGCTAGGAGGCTAGTTAAAATGCTGAAGGCTGAACCACAGTCTTTCATTCAGTGCATCTGGGTTAGAGTTTAAGAATTTGCATATCAGCAGGGCTGATGGCACACACCAGTGATCCCAATGACTGGGGAGGCTGAGGCATGAGGATGGAAAATTCAAAACCAGCTCAGCTATTTCCTTTTTTTTATGTTTATTTTATAGTTGAGCACAATATCTTTATTATTTATTTTTATGTGGTGCTGAGGATCGAACCCAGGGCCTCAAACGTGCTAGGCAAGCGCTCTATCACTGAGCCATAACCCCAGCACCACCCTTTTTTTTTTTAATATTTGATTTATTCGGGCCTGGGGATGTGGCTCAAGCGGTAGCATGCTCACCTGGCATGCGTGCTGCCGGGTTCGATCCTCAACACCACATACAAAAAGATGTTGTGTCTGCCGAAAACTGAAAAATAAATATTAAAAAAACTCACTCTCTCTCAAAAAAAATTGTTAAAAAACATAGTTGATTTATTCATACATTCAAAAACGTGAAGATTTTATTACGGACTGGACATAATACCAAATATATTACTGTTTTCAAACAAACTACATTGAATGAAAACTAAACATTTTATTTGACATGTAAGCATATATAATATTTTATAGAAAAAACTAGTAATAATTATATTGTGTCAAATATAAAACATTAGATTTCAATGATTTCCCTGAATGTCTTAGTTGCTTTTAAAAAGTATTTTCCTATATTTGGGGTAAGATTTTATTTCTTTTTTTTTCCTTGCTTTTTTTATTGGCATATTATAGTTGTACATAATTGATGGAGTTTGGTGTTACATACTCATACATACACACAATATAACCATAGGATTTGGCCAATCATTCCTCAGCAATTCCCCTCTTCCTCCTCACTTCCCACTCCTAGTTCCCTTTCCTCTACTGAGATCCATCCCCAACTTTATTTTCCTTTTTCTTCTCTAGCTTCTACACATGAGAGAAAATATACACCTTGATCAACTGAGTTTGACTTAATTCACCAAACATGGTGATCTCTAGTTCCATCCATTTTCCTGCAAATGCCGTAGTTTATTTTTTCTTTATCATCCTCAGCAATTTAGTGAACCCCTAAGCAACTGAGTGAGTTCCTGTGGGGGGAGAAGGGGGGAGTAAAACAAAAACGCAGCATTGGGGATGAACCCAGTGGTTAAGTGCCCCTGGGTTCAATCCCTTCCAATCAAAAGAAAGAAAGAAAAGAATTTGCATATCAAACAAGTTAACCAGGTGCTGTTGATACTGTCTCAAGACCACACAGTTGAGAACCACTTCAATAAAGTGTTGTGGCCCAGCGCAATAGTGCCCACCTAAAATCCCAGCAGTGCACGAGACTGACTGAGACAGGAGTCTGACTAGCCTCTGCAATGTGAGACACTGTCTCAAAAGAAAAAAAAAAAGGGCTGTGGATATAGCTCAGTGGTAAAGTACCCCTAAATTCATTCTCCAGTCCAACAAATAAAGTAACTGAGGTAGGAGAAAGGGTTAAAATGGACAGGCAGGAAAGTTGGGCTCCTTAGGCCAGATTTCTATTCAGCAGGGCTAAGAAACTCTAGATAAATGCCTGGCCTCATCAAGGGTCAGGCTGACTCCCATTAAAGCAGAAAAAATTGATAGTGAAACATCTGCTGTCTTGTACTTGGACCCCCAAGCAAAAAAGGGGGCACAGTAACTTGAATGGACCAAAGAATGCATAAAACATTCCTGAATACTGAGTGCCTTACCCAGGACTGGGTGAGAGGCTAGCTCCCTTAATTCTGTAGATTGATATGAACCTACGCATTAGCCACTCTCTGGTATCCCTTTCTTGGGACCCCTCCCTTTTAGGAGCTCTGCTTTCTTGCTTTCTCTTACTCTAATAAATCTGTTACTTTACTCTTACCCTTATGTCAGTGGATTTCATTCTTCAAATCCAGAAGACAAAGTATCCAACTCTATGCTCCGTCTGTAGCTACTCACCATCCAGAAATGTTCTTGATCATATAACTTCAACTTTTGCTTTTTACCAAAACAAGGTTTTTCATATTTTTCCCCATCATTTCCAGCTAAACAGGAAATGGAGAAGGGTGCACATTGAACAAAAGAAAATGAGAAGAAAACTGGGGGCTTGGTCTCCCACCACCTGTAATCAGTGATCAATTTTGATACTTTGCCAGAACTCAATCCAAGTATTTTGTGTGTGTGTGTGGGCAGAGAGTAGAATCTTATAAAATTAATTTTAGTTGCTCAGAAATGTTAACTGCAATTTACAGTCTACAAAACAAAGATTATAGATTAAAAATACGTGCCTAAAAACGTACATGTCAATAAAATATCAAGGTAGTAAAGTGTTTATAACAGATACTTGTTTATTTTTCTTCTTAGTAGAAGTTAGGGTGAAATTTCTAAGATTTAAAATGAATAAGGCAAGAAAAACTTTAAGAAAACTTTTTTTTTTTTTTTTAAAGAAAACAGTTGGAGAGAAACCTGCCAGTTTCTCTTCTAGAACTTTTAAATCCAGTTCACAAATCAGTACTGATCCCCTGGAGTAGAGTTTGGAAACAAAACCAAACAAAAAAGTTATATTTGAGGCAATTTCGGGATGATTTAGTCAAGCATACATACAGTTTCCAACAGATTTACCCTAGGGTGTGATTATTTTAATGCAGAGGGAATGAAGAATTATCCTATCAGTTCAAACTACGCCCACTTTAACTCACATGAATCCTTTAACCATTGGATCATTAACATTAAAATAGCCTGGAAGATTGACCTATCTGTAATTTAAAAGGAAACCAGACCTGAATTTTCAGATTGGCTCCACTGTCCTCACCAGCTGATGAAGTTTGAGGTTTTAGTCTCAGGGCTACAGTTTTTTTTTTTTTTCCTCCCAAGCAACAGAGGGAGCAACTTTTTTTGAGGGTTTGCTCACCTCCCAATGGATCCATTGCAAAAATTTAACCCAACCTCGACCCAGGAGTCTTTTCCGATGTCTGAAAATGAAGAAAATTCAGGTAAGTCAATGACCTTCTTGAGAGCAAGGGTTTTGGGCAGTCAAAAGCCTTTCTTCATTTCTTATATTAAGTCTTTCCAAAAGGTATTCCAAGTTAAGTAAATCTCAAAGGAGAGGAAGGCTGGGTGCATACTTTCCTTTGCTGAGAAAAAAATGGAGTTCAAAAAGGAACAAAAAGAGGGAAGTGGAAGGAGAATTGAGTATTTATGTTCACTATATTTAAGAAATCTTTAGACTTCTCCTCCTCCCTACTCCCTCCCTACCCCCGGTACTGGGGAGATTGAACATAAGGGTGCTCCACATGTTCTTCAATTGAGCGCCATCCCAGCCCTCTTTATTATTTATTTAGTACTGGGGGGGGGCGGTTTGAACCCAGGGGCGCTTTACCATTAAGCTAGATCCCGAGCCTTTTAAATTTTTATTTTATTTTTTATTTTTGAGACACGGTCTCGCTAAATTGATTAGGGCCTCATTAAATTATGGATGTTGGTCTCCAACTTGCAATCCTCCTGCCGAAACCTCCGTCGTCGTTGGGATTACAGGCGTGCAACCCAGCACTGGCAGTCTGTATATTTAAATTTTGAGACAAGGTATTACCAAAATGCTCCGGAACTTGCCATCCTCCCGTCTCAACCTTCAGCCTTTTGAGCCACTGAAATTCGAAAAACCAGACTTTTAAGTCCAGTTTCTGGAATAAAGAATGTTTCCAGGACGTAGTTTATCTTAAAACTTTTTTTTATTACTTTTGATAACAGGGATTGAACCCAGGGGCGCTTTACCACTGAGCCACATCCTCAGCTTTTTTTTTTTTTTTAAGACAGTCTCACTAAATTGCTGAGGCACGGTTTGAAATCGTGATCCTCCTGCCTCAGCCTCCCAAGCGTAGCCTACCACTCCGGGCCTAGGACGCAGTTTATGGGGGAGGTGTAGGATCAATATTTTCTTCCTCAGCAATTCAGGTCAGGAACGGTAGAAAATAACAAACATAGGAAACTCACATTTCACTTTAACCTGATCTTTTTCTCACCAACTTTTTCAGGAATGGCTTTCCATCTAAATTTCCCCTTTAAGAATGTTAATAACAGAATATAATAAAAACAGTTAATTGTACACTGGGTGGGGGGGAAGAATGTTAACAACAATCAAATGGCTCTTCTAGGGAAAATAAAAGGAAAGGGGCGGATTTACAAAACCTGGTGAATGTTCTGTGTGATGTAAATTGGTGGTAGGAGGAGACCCCGGGTTGCTTTCTCGGTCCGGGCTCCCGGGCCTCTTCCGGTGGAGGGATTCCACCTGGTCTTGGCTCCAGGGCACCTACAACGCCCTCTACCCGCCCTACCCCACAGGCCAAGCTGCCCTAGGCCAATACCCCAAACTACCCACAGGGCAATACCCTACCCACACTTATAGAAAAAAAAAAATTACCTGGGTAGGATATATGGGCAATTAGGGAGCGGCCGGCACTGACAGCCTTCCTCTCTGCCTTGCGGAGCCTGTCTGCCTCTTTGACTTCCTAGGAGTCCCGGTAGTCAGAACCGAGTGGAAAACAAAAATAGAGAAAGAGAATAATCTGTATAATATCCTCGGTCTCTCCCTCTTCATGAATCTGCCTCAGTGCCTGACATACACAAGGTGGGCTTCTTTTGACTCCTATTTTTCTGAGTTTTGTTTTGTGGCAGAAGGTTCCCAAGTTTAAGGACAGTCTAGGCAACTTAGGAAGACTCTTGTCTCAAAATGTTAAAAAACAAACAAACAAACAAAAAAAAGCAAGGAGGGCTGGGGGTGTAGTTAAGTGCTAGAGTACCTATAGGTTCAATCCTAGTACCCCACCCCCCACAAATCAGAAACCAGGGGTTTATTACCATCTGTCCCTGTGCAAAGAAATTTAGTTCTGCCTTGCCTCTTTTGGGGTAGGGGTTCTGGGTATTGAACTCAGGGTCCCTCTACCACTCAGCTACACTTTTTTTTTGAGTCAGGATCTTAAGTTGCCAAGACTGGCCTTGATCTTAGTGAGTTATCTTCCTGTCACAGCCTCTGGGATTACACCCTGAGAAGACTGGGACTTTGCATTGTTTCCTGTCATCTTCCATCCTGAGCAACTTCCTATACTAGTGCATTACTCCCGTCTGCTTTAAAAGCAGACCTAGCAGGAGACCCCGGCAGGAAGATTTCAATATTGAGACCAGCCTGGACAATTGAGACCCTGTCTTAAAATAAAAAATAAAGGGCTGGGGATGTGGCTCAGTGTTAGAGTGTTCTTGGGTTCAGTTCCCTGTAATGTACAAGCGTGTGTGCACCCATACACACAATCCAGACCTAGTTTGATTGTGGAGTAGTGACTTATCAATGATGCAAGTCAAACTAATGAATCTTACCTTCTTTCTCTTTCAGTGGACTCTCATCCGGTCAGTTCAGAAATGCTAGTAAAGAAACTTCATGACTTGACTCTGAATCCTTGTGCTAAATGGCCGTCCCCTCTGCCAGAAGGTCCACGCCAACCACTGGACAGGAGTGAGAGGGTCTTACTACGGGAGGTCAGAAAGGGCTTTCCCAACAGGCGGCGAGGAGTCCGGACATTGTTATCTGCACGGAAAGAGCTTGTGGAAAAATGGAGATATCTCCTAAGTGTAAGATTTTCCCAGATGAGTTTGTGATATGGGTAGGGCTATTGGATCTTCTGGGCAGATGGCACTGCCATCCCAGGATGATGTATACATTAAGATGTCAGCAGTGCTGAGTGGCAGTACTCAGGCTGGATAACTTACATCTTTAAGGCTCCCCCATTTCTCTTTTAGTGGGTATGTAACTTGTTTTGTAAACCCAGGAGCGCTTAACCACCGAACCATGTATCCTTAGCCTTTTTTATTTTTATTTTTTGGGGTAGAGCCTTGCTAAGCTGCTTAGGGCCTCAACCTTCTGAGTCCCTGGGATTATAGGTGTGTGCCACCATGCCTGGTTGTAACTTTTTCTTAGTTTTAAATAAAAATATATTTTTTTCTTTCCATGAAGCTTCAAAAACAAGAAAGAGAGAACAATCTTAAGGAAGTTCAGGTAATTTTTTTTTTTTCTTTGCTATAAGTGTGGGTAGGGTATATGGTTTGGTTTGGATTTTTGTTTGGAGAAGGGGGAATTGGCTTGAAGGTTTTTTGTTTGTTTGTTTGTTTGTTTTGTATCAGGGATTGAACCCAGGGGCACTTGACCACTGAGCCACATCCCCAGCCTTGAGACAGGGTCTCACTAAGTTGCTTAGGGCCTTGCTTAATTGCTGAGGCTGGCTTTGAATTTGGAGATCCTCCTGCCTCAGCCTCCCAAGCCACTGGGATTACAGGCCTGTGCCACCATGCCTGGCTGGCTTGAAAGTTCTGAATCCCCAGGAATTCTGGAGAAATCGGTCCATGTTTATAGTTGTTTATTTGATGCTGGGAATTGAACCTGAGTTTTTATTTTTTAGAATGGTTTTAAGTTCACTGCAAAATTGAGCAGCAAGTAGAGTTTCAGTATACCCCTTTCAGAATAAGGTGTGGATAAAGAGCATAGATATTTGCATGAATTCACTTCCTGAAAGAGATGTATACCACCTCACACATAGCCTCCCCAACCATCAACAACAGAATTGACATATCACCCAGTGCATATTTGACATTAGGGTTCACTCTGTTATGTTTGTACTTACAAGTGCTTCATAAACATGATCTTCGTAATGGTACCATGTTGTAAGACAAACTCCTAAACCTAGTGTCCAGAGTGAGTTACATACAAGGAATTCAGAGAATTAAGACTGAAATAGTTTTTTACTAACAAGTCTGCATCTGTTGTCATTATAAAATGACCCACAAGCTGGCATGGTACCCATATGTTTCATTCCTCTTTTTTATACCCCTAAGTTGTTTTTTGGTTTTTTTTTCCCCCCCAGTGCCCAGTACTAGGGATTGAACCCACACACACTCTACCACTGTTTTTATTTTCAGATGGGATCTCCCTAAGTTGCTAGGCTGGTCTAGTAAATATGGTCTTCCTGACAGTCTCCCTAGTTGCTGAAATTAGATTGCACTTGGTCAAAGGCTAACTTTATAAACAATAGATTTGAGAGTTTTTTATACTTCTTTGAGGTATAATACGATTAATCTAATTTCATTATTTCTTTCAGAGTGAATCACGAAGTGTACCATTCAAATGTACCTGCAGTTTTTGCGAATATCATGGATGGGATCCTTCTGAGAATGCTAGAATAGGGTATGATTAGGACACAGAGTCAATATAGGCGTAAATTGTACTTGTTCTTCATGATGGTAATTTTAGGCACACTTTTCTATGCTTAGACTGCATACCAATGATTTTGAATAGCTTATGTATGAGTTCTGTGATGTCTTTATTCTTTTGCATCCTTTTTTTTTTTTTTTTTGGTGTTAGGGATCCCTTCATGCCTTAATGCCAGTAATTTATAAGGAATCTGAGCAGTTAAAATGTGCATAAATGATTTCAATATACTTTAGTTTTACTTTTCTGTTTGACTCAAAGAAGTACCAATAGGTCTCAAGTCTTCCTGGAGATTTGAAAAGCCTGAAATCTGAAATAAAACTCAGGAACTGGAAGAGATGTAAAGAGAATATTGGATAGTTTGATTAGAGTGTAATAATTAGAGTAGATAATTAGATTTTCTGGTTTTCAAAAATTTGAGTTGCAGTAAAAAGAAATTTTGATGTGCTGTTTTAATTTTCAGTAGCAAATAAATGTATATATAGAGGAACTTATTGATCAATTTGAGTATTTTATACAAATTCTTATTCCTGGTTTTATACTTTAGAAAAGTTTTTTTTTTTTTAAGAGAATTTTTAATATTTTTTTATTTTTCGGTCGACACAAACCCAGTGCCTCACTCACACATGCTAGGTGAGCACTCTACCATTGAGCTCCAACCCTAGCTCAGTGTTTTGCTGTATAGTGAATGAACAATTTAATCTCACATTTCTAGAGTGTAAATATCTGGTAATATTTTGTGATATTATTCACTGGAAGGAACTTTGAGTAAGGTGTGGATAAAGAGTATAGGTATTTGCATGAATTCACTTCCTGAAAGAAATCTCAAAATGAAAGGAGCTAAAAGGGAAGTGGGAGTTTTGGAAATTGCTGATAGGTGCAGAGAGGTTTCCCTCTCATGTCAGATAATTCTGTAGCTGCTGTCAGCTGGGAGTCCTAATATAGTTAATTTTTGAAAATGCCTACATGGAGATTGCCTCAGATTCTACAAATTGAGGGCTTAGTCCCATAAAACTCCACTTCAGATGCCAATCAAGCCTGGGTTATAGCCTATGCTTCTGCCTGGCCAGCTGTAAATAAATGTTCCTGCATCTCTCTCCTGGGGTTCAATGAATTTGCTAGAGCAGCTCACAGAACTTGGGGAAGCACTTGAGGATCCGCTGGAGGAGGTGCATAGGGCAAGATATGAAGGGACACAACACTCTCCAGAAAACTGTTTTATTCTGCTATTGGAAATCCTCAGAATTTAGTCCTTTTGGATTTTTATGGGAGTTCATTACATAGGTATGATTACTTCATTGACCATTGGCTTATCAGCCTTTCTCCTCACCAAAGGTTACCAGAAGGGTGGGACTAAAAGTTTCAGTAATCTATCACTTGATTCCCCTAGGTAACCAGTCTTTCATTCTGAAGCTAGGAGTCCCCAGTCTCCAGTTAAACTATAATACCAAAGGTATTACTTGGACTTCAGGTTGTCACTTATGTGCTGTGGCTTTAGTTATCCACATCAATGTCAGTCTGAAAATTTTAAACGGAAAAATTATAGAAATAAACATTAAGAAATAATATTATGGAAAATTGTTATATTTGATTAGCTACTACTAATCTCACTTTGCCTAATATATAAATTATACTTTTATCCCTATACATATATACCTATCATAAAGTTTATGTAAAGTTCAGTACCACCCCAGCGTTTCTGTGGGGGTTTTGGAATGTATCCCCTGTGAGTAAGGGGGGGCTACTTTGTCAGGAATTGCAGGGCACAGGGGTAAAAACCAAATACATTTTGCATATCAAAGGAGCAAATTGAGAATCTATGATAATGAAATATCCCAAGAGGCAATGTCATCCAATGGTATTTAACTTTTTTTTTAAATGACACGTGCATAGATCTGACATTCTTTTGGGGATAAAAATAGTTTGCCTTTTTTCCTCCAGCTGACATGTGTTCAGAGTGATAGAAAATCTAAGTTGGGGGGGCTTGGGTTGTGGTTCAGGGGCAGAGAACTTGCCTAGCATGTGTGAGGCTCTGGGATGGATTCTCAGCACCTCATATAAATAAATGAACAAAATAAAGGTCCATCAACATCTTAAAAAAAAATTTTTAAAGTTTAAGTTGGGTACCGCGGCCCAGGCCTACAATCCCAGTCACCTGGGAGACCAGAGGATTACACACTGGAGGCCAATCTGGCCATTTATTGAAACCCTGTCTCAAATTCAAAAAAGGACTGGGATGTTGCTCAGTGGAAGAGTACAATAAATGTTTAATCCCCAATGTGGGATAGGGGTATTGGGAAAGGAGGCTCCCTGCTTTCCTTTTTTTGAATGCAGAAGAGCCCTTTAGTAGTCTCGGGCATATGGAAAATGCTCAAAAAAGCATTCATTTGCTATTTATGATACTGGGATCTAAGCCAGGACCTCATGTGTGTTGGGCAGGTAAATAAGTACTGTATCACTGAGTACTTGGCACTGATTTTATGGATGAATGTGTGAAGTGATTGTTTTTTGTTTTTCAAATTGGAATCAATAACAGCTTACTGAAAATTTTTAAGGGCTCTCCTTTTTCAAAGTTATACATTCACAAAGCATTAATTAGCTATTTGTAATGGTGGTTGCCAATCTCAGAACATTTCCATGGAAAATGTCCCATTCATAAGTAAATCTTCATCATCTTGCAAATTGCCTTCTGAGGTAAATCACAGTGAATACCATTCCAACCCCATTTTTCCGTTTTGGAATGAAAATTTACTATAACACAAGACTTCCTTGTTAGGATCATTAGGTCCCCCTGCATGCCAGAATCTAAAAGGGAGAAAAAGGATGAGGACATTCTTTAAATAGTGTTTCTTTTTTTTTTTTTTTAAAGTTTAAATATTGAGGAGGGTAGAATTGAAAAGTGTCGAAGTTAAAGTCAACATGAACCCAAAATATTCTTTCCCCACATTTCTGTATTGTAGTGGCACCCCCCTCTTCCACAGGAAATCTTAATTAAGCTTCTCCAGAATTCTTCACCAAAACTGATCTTAGAACTATCAGTACAAGAATTTCTACAAAAGAGTTCAATGTAGTTCAACTACTTATTTCCTGTTACTCTACCTCACTTGGCCTTGAAGAGATTAACACTCAAGGTGCTGAAGGCCCCTTTACTAGTTTTTCACAAACATTTATGGACTTAATATAAATAACATAATAATTTGTAGAAGTGTGCTTGCAAATGCAGAGTGTGCTAAGAAAAACATTCTTTTAATTAGGCCCCTGGCTTTGAACTGGAGCTTCAGAGTAGAGGTTACTAATTGGGCTCCATGGTAACTGTTAGCAGGGGGAGGGAAAAAGGGGGGAGAAGAAGCCTTCCCCTTCTCAGGCTCTGTCCTTGACCAGAACAGGGAAAGAAAAA